GACCTCAGGTCTCCGATTAGCAAACACTTTTTTGTTTCTCATAATTTTACGTTCCTTAGAGCAAACTTTTGTGCACCCGTTGATCCAACTTACAGCGCAGCAACCTAATCAAAGCACTTTCTCCCTTCCTTGCTAAGGCCCTAAATCGTAATACCTTAATGAAGAAAACGCGCTCTAAGTATACGGCACTGCAGGCTTGTCCTGATTGCACGCGATTGTACAGGTCACAAAGGGGGCTTCGTAATTCCCCATTTTTAGGGCGTTTTCATTTTCGTAAGGTTCAATCGGAGACCTCGTGCAGAGGCCTGATGTGGATATTTCTTTTATGTGAACTTATCAATAGTGTACAACATTTAAAGTTGAGCAAAGTCCGCTGAAACAAACTTAAGGTATGGAGACACTTTTTGCTTACGATAAATGAAAAGAGATGTAAATATAGATGGCGAATGAAGCAACTGTTGTAATATGCTACGAGCTAAAACTGTCATCACCTCTTAAAACCACAGTTGCTCCCCGCAATCGACCAACTCGCGTAACGAACACATCTTTGGCGCGACCTCCTGTCTACAGTGCGTAACTCGTCTCACACTTTACACTAAGATTGGTCAATGGCTACTCAATTTTCTTTCCATTATCACAAAATCAAGCAGCCAAATTATGATGGATACTACGAATTTCCATTTCTTTCAAATTAGGAAGAACGTGAAGGCAAGACACGCTGCAAAACTTGCCTACTCTGCTTCCAAAACAGCCTAAGCAGCTTCGGACATAAAGACTTTCAATGCCAAATATAAACCAAGCTCATTACTCCGCCACGGGCGAATGTTCTTATTACGCATGTGATGCAAATTGGAGGGTTAGTCTGATGATTCAATAGAAATTATATTGAGCCTTACAGAGGAAACGAATGAAAGTCCAATTAACCACACACATTCATTAAATGATTTAAAGTGATTTTTCATCGCGAAACATTATTCCCGATGATCATGATGATTTCACATGTTTGCATGGTATTTGTGCCTCAAATTGCGCTGGATTAAATTCTGTACTTTATTCCTACTCTATTTCAAAGTTTTTACGTCAATTTTCCCACATTCACGATGTATCCAAAAATTCTAGGATCTTTGCTTGTCCATTGAATTCTTAAATTTTTGACAATTTCATGGGCGGCGAACCGTCTTTGCAGTTTCTTGCATTTCCTACAAGAAAAAAGTCTACTGATTAGGATAATTAACTATCTCAAGCTCTAAGTATAATATAATAATGAGGGGTAAACATAATTTTAATCAGAATCTAACCATCGAATGGAGTTTAAATTCAAAAAGTTTGCAACATAGAGATAGACAGGAAAATTAATATTGCTAAAAGAGAACAATAGCAAACACTTTTTACTTTAAAGTGGTGTCGATTCAATTAATGAAAAATTTCGAATGCAACCAAATACCTAAATGAACAACTCAAAT